CTCAGAACCATTAAACTCGAGCTGTAGCTTTTTTTATGCAATAACAGTAAGGGTTGCCACTATCAAGGAGGCACAAACAAAAGTCTACGAGAAGAGTCAAGAAGATCCAGCACTCATCAGCCTAGGCAGCAAACAATGTAACAATGATTTACATCTATGCTAGCCTAATAGATAAAGATGGGGTTTGGGCTGGTCAACAGAGTTTACCCTCTGCTTACCCCTAAAGTCTTTGACTACAAAGGCCTTCTACAAAAAAATTAGCTGGATGCAGTTGACATCTTCCCAAGATGAAAATTTTTATCAAGACACCATCTCTAGCTTTTACTCAACTAAGAGCCTCAAGGCAGGGGTTTTTAAGTCAAAGTTTATTTCTCCTAACCTTTTCCTGAAAAAAGCAAACCCTACAAGGCCAAATGGCATAGGGTTACATGATACCAGTAACATGATGATTATACTTGATCTGATTTGGAGTAGTTTAAAGAAGTTACTTCTTATAAAAACTTTAAAACATTAATCGAGATATTTTGGAAATGCATTAGGAAAAACATTTCATCTAACAGAATAAAAGAAATTAAGGTGAACGTAAGTTTTATAGTTGAAATCACTAGTTGGTAACTCAGTTCACACTGTATTAGATATTTAAACAGAAAACAAACATAAATATAGTAACTTTTGGGTGAGAAAACATGCTAGAGGTTCAGACAGAACATAAACATACAAATAGCAAATAATATCAATTCAAATACTTTCAAAAGCTTCTAAAGCTATTTGTTTTAAAATAATCAAACTTGTAATATTATTTTAAGAATCAAGACTTGTTTTTATTTTGTTTAAATGTTTTGACTACAGCATAGTCATCCTTAGTTGAAGTAGAAAATTGACATAAAAAGAGAAAAAATAAATTATTTTAAAAAAAAAGTACAACATAGATTAAAATAATCTTAATACAAAAAAAAAGTAATTAAAAACATAACAAATGTCAAAAAAGGTACAAAATAAAAAGATTAAAAATAATCTGAAAAATAAAAAAATTAAACAAATATGGTAAAAAGCTGGTAAAAATGTTATAAGAAACTAAATTGAAAGTGTCACTGTTACATGGTTCACTTATTAAGTTTTTATTTGCACTATAAATTGATATAAATTGCCTATACCAATTATGATATGTAATGTAGAAGAGTATCTTCAGATGACACTACAAGGAATAATTAACATTTTTGCAGACCTTTTTTTTTATCAGAATGGTTTGTTCAATTTCAAACTATATATCTATTTTATTTCTTATATATCTATCCTATTTCAGTATATCTCAACTGTCCTATTTACATAAAAAACAGTAGAGTATTGTTTTCACCATATTTGTTTAATTTGTACCTTTTATTTTTCAGATTATTTTGCTTATTAGTTCTTTTTTTTTTCTACTCAATTTTTTTTTTCCTTTTATTCATTAATTTTCTTCAGTTCTGCTATCTGCAATGTCATTGCAATCAATGAATTAAAAATAATTTATTTATCTTTCTCCACATTTATTTATTTCTATTAGCAAATATATCATATTTGAGAGCACAGCAAGCTGCTGTAGTCTTAATATTTTTTCCAGCTAGTTAAAAAAAAATAATTAAAATTGTGGTTGCTTGAAATAGTAATAAATTTTTACATGGCCTACTATATTCACGGCCGTATATCTTACATTTTTGAGGGGATAATTAAGAGGTCATTTTTTACTGAAAAAATAGCTGCGCAGAATATTATATTTTTAAAAAGCAACTTTATTCTTAATTTTTAATTTAAAGTTCTTCAATGTAAAAGTGGCTGTTGTTTTTAATATATATACTCTTTAAGATAAAATAGATATCAAAGATTTGAAGACATTTGTGTAATATTTGTTGGAGAATTGTCACAGAAATTATTCAAATCAATATACATTTATATCTATGTATATTTATATATAATATATATATTTGTATTTATGTATATTTTAATGCTTTAAAAAAAATGTCAAGAAGTAGTTCAAAGAAATCAAACAGTAGGTAAATTTTATTAAACTATATAAACAAATGCTATGCAACTAGCTTATTGGCATTTTTGATTTCACTTTTTTCTTTGCCTCTTTTTAAATGTTTTTAAGTTATTATTGGAAACCGAATCCTTTGATAGTTTTTGTTTGTTATTAAAAAATACATTAACAAGAATTTTTGTTGAAAACGTGATTTCCTAATTTTCATGACTTTCACAAACAAATTTGCTTTTTGGTGCATATTTATGTAACAGATATGTTGATGATTTAATGACTGGAATTGATAGAGATGAAATTTCATTCTCAATTAAATCCAAAATAGCAAATACACTGCAAACAAATTCTGCAAGCTGTTTGGATGGAACAAATAGTCCACCACGTGATAAGAGAGATAGATAAGAATTGTCTTCAAGATCAATGTCTCCACCTTTCAAACATGCTTTGCAATTTTCACATTTAGACCTTTTTTACAATTTTTTTGCAACATAGCCTGCTATAGTTATTGCCATTTCTTGACTATTATAATCAAGGGAACTTTCCATAATTTCTTCTATTCGATTTTCAAACAGTTCATCAAGTATTGTCAAGAAAAGATGAATATCTGGTATTAGATTTTCTTCCCAGAAGTTTATATGCTCCTTAATTAAAAAACAACATGACAAAATTTTTTCTGAATTTAAAACTTCTCTTGAACTTACAAGAAATCTTCCCCCACTATTTGCCTGTATTGTGAGAAACGTCTCTCAATTGGATCACTTTGTAAACGAGCTGTCATTATGTAATCATATCCATCATTCAGGAGCTCCTCAACAAGCAGTGCTTGAGCACGTAAGGTATTTACAAATGCTGATGCAGTTTGAGTTGTGAGGGTGAATGCAGGTGAAAGAGACCACTGATTGACCCAATCAGCCAGAGCTTGGTAAAAAATCATTTTATTGTCTCCTAATACAATAGCATTGCCAATAATATTTGGTGAAAACCTTTGTTTAGAATTAGCAATAGTCTACCAAGTTTTAAAAATAGTTGAAAAACTTGAAACATCTTTTTGATTTGGATAGTAGCTTTTTGAAGCTGCAATTGTAGTTTCATGTATAATTGCTAACGCAAGTGGCACATTTTGTTTATTATTTCCAGGATGTAATGCCTCATATGTAAGCTTTGGAGCTTTTCAAAGTTTACCTTTCATATCATTTTCATTATGGTAAATCTTAAATAAATCATCTTAACTAATATATCCTGATGGACAATCAATATTGATATATGCATTATGGTATTTAAAGTCTAGAAAAACAAATTTTTTACCATTTAATATATTATTTTTAAGATTTTTGACTAAATGCACACTATCATAAAACAAATATGTCTTTTTTCCATGATTCTGTGAGTGAATAATAAAATACTTTGATTCAAACTTGAACATTGTAACTAATGGTGAGAATGCATTAATGTTAGTAGAATGATTGACTGTAACTACACCATGCACAGTGAACCCAGCACCAAATAGATTTTTAAGATTGTCAGCTATTTTTTGTGATTTCCAATTTCCAGAGAATGTGACTTCTGGAATTGCTTGAACAATAAAAGGAATTGATTCTTTTAGTCCTATTATCATGAATGTGACAATTCTTTTGTATAAGTTACCTTCTTTGTTAGCACCAACATACTCTCCTCCTTGATATTGTGCTGCTTTTTGTAAATACATTTCATCTATAATCATAATACAATCAGGAGAAATTTTTCCTTTTTCACATAGAAGTTTTAAAGTTTTTATAGAATTGATACCTTGTTGAATTTTATTTAATAAAGATAGCTTTTTAAGTAGTAGTTTGTATGCCTGTAAAGATGTATATCGTAAAAGTAATGCATATCGAATCATTTCTGCTGAGTATGGTGGCCTGCCTTGTGGCTGATAAAGCTCTCTATCTTTAATTTCATCTAAAATAGTATCATGATTTTCTAATGTGTAGTTTCTCATATAAGAAGGAAAATTTTCTAGCATACTAATTTTATTAAGTTTTGCATTATTTCCTTTAACAAACCAACTTGGTAATGGAAGCAGTGTTCCTTTGTATTGCAAACGTACATTTAGGCCTACATCAACTGTTTTTGATTCTAATATAGTTGGAAAATATGTCTGTTCATTAAATGCTATATTATAAAATATATACCTTTTTCAAATTGTTTAAGTTGAAACCCTGGTGGTGCTACTGCTTCATTCAAATTATGTACATTTGTAATTGTATAATTTTTCTGAAATATTTCTAACTGATCTTTTTGGAATATTCTCAATTTAGGAGGACTTCGAGAAGTTTTTAAAACTGGTAAAAATGATTTTTTTTGCAAAAGTTCACAAGAATACTTAGAAGGAACAGGTTTTAAAAGCCAATTCAGTGTGCAATTATCACCTCTAAGTATATATTTATTTTCAAAATGAAGTTCGCATAAAACAGAATGTTTTATTGAGTCCAATCTGAACGATTAACAAACCGTATCCAAAGTTGATTTAAGTGTTGGTCTGTTGGAAAATGAAAAGATGCAATTTGTTTGTGTTTGCTGCTTAAGTATCCCGATGTACATTTTGGTGCAGCACATTTGTTGACCACTTTCAATATAAATTCTTTAAAAATTAGTAAATTCAGAAAGAAGAATATTTTTAAAAATAATATTTTAGCTTATTTTTCATCTAAAACTTTCAAAATTGGCCTCTTAATTTCCCCCTCAAAAATGTAAGATATACGGCTGTGAATATAGTAGACCATGATTTTTAAAATTTAGTATCTCTTCCAATAATTTTAATTAACTTAGAGATTAATTTACTTAGAGATTAAGCTACTAATAAATAAGTAAAAAAATTTTATTTATCTTTTTTAATATTTTTTTTAAAGTAAAAGTTCTTTAGCAAAAGGCCTATATATTGTATTTAATATAGTTATAAAAGTAGACTTTTTCCAAAAATTCTTTTTTTTTAATTATTTTATTTCAGGAATTTGTTTTGAATACACCATCTTTTCAAGATATTAAATGCTGGTCTGGTTGTCTGGGTAATCTTGCAATGTATGCTATTGTTTATGCACAACTTTATACGTCGGATGGGGTGAAACATGGTTTACACCCATTTATAGTACAAGTACGCAATTATAACAAAGAACCTTTACCTGGTATTACAGTTGGAGACATGGGTTTAAAGCTTGGCTTGAATGGGCTAAGTAATGGGTATAATTTTTTTTGTTAAACTCCTAATATTTTTTGTGTTTGAATCATCATCATCATTATTTTTTGAATCACCAATCATCTTTTTCAAATTTGGAATAAAGATGACAGATTATTAAAAGGACAGAAATGTTGTTAAAATACATGCCTGATATTTGACATTCATTTTGGTGTGTTTGTGTGTATATGTGTGTATAAATATATACATATATATATATATATATACATACATATATATATATATATATATATATATATATATATATATATATATATATATATATATATATATATATGTATATATTTCTCTTTTAGACAAGGTGCAAAAACGAATTGTAAACATAGTTGGACCTGCTCTGGCAGCCAATCTCCAACCTTTGTCACATCGTCGTAATGTTGCTTCTCTTTCTCTTTTCTACAAATACTATAATGGGCACTGCTCTAAAGAGCTAGCGTCCCTTGTGCCATCTACTAAAATTCATTCTCGTGTTACTCGCCATTCAATTAAGTCTCATCCTTTTTCTGTGACTGTTCCTAAGTGCTTCAAAAACTCTTATTCTTCTAGTTTTTTTCCTCGAACATCAGTTCTTTGGAATTCGCTTCCTTCATCTTGCTCTCCTGATTCATATAATTTGCAATCTTTTAAGTCATCAGTCAATCGTCATCTTGCTCTACAGATTTAGTCTTTTCTCTTCCAGTAACTTCCAACTCTTATAGTGGTTGCTTGCAGCCTTGTTGGAAGTGAAGATGTTAAAAAAAAAAAAAAAAAAAAAAAATATATATATATATATATATATATATATATATATATATGTACATATACATTTTGGTGTGTTTGTGTGTATATGTATGTGTGTATAAATATATACATATATATATACATATATATAATTACATATATATATATATATATATATATATATATATATATATATATATATATATATATATATATATATATATATATATATATATATATATATGTATATATGTACATATACATATACATACATATATATATATATATATATAAATATATGTGTGTGTATATATATATATATATATATATATATATATATATATATATATATATATATATATATATATATATATATATACATATATATATGTATAGATACACACACATTTGTGAGTGTTAGTTTGTATAAAAAACAAATATTTTGATATATTTTCACAAAATTAGCTACTTATCACTGAATAACGTTCGAGTACCTAGAACAGCATTGATAGATAAACAAGGTGGAGTTACACCCGATGGAGTATATATAACTCCATTCAAAGATATTAGTAAACGCTTTGGGGCTGTTTTGGGCACTCTATCTGGTGGTCGAGTTGGTATTACAGGATTAGCTATTTGTAATTTAATAAATGCTTTGACAATAGCTGTACGTTATTCTGCATGTCGTAAACAATTTGGACCTTCTGAAGAAAGTGAAGAATTACCAGTTATTGAATATCAAATGCAGGTGATTATTGGTTTGTTGATTCTAATTTGCATATTTTCTAAGAGTTTATGTTTTTTTTAATGTTTTAATTTTACACTTAAATACAAAATATGGCTCGAAAGTGTTTTTAAATTGATTGTTTTTTTTCAATAATATTTTTTTAATATTTGTTTTTATGTAATATATTTTATTAAAAAACAAATAAAAAATGTTTCTTTTTACAATTTGTAAGTTTTTTTAAAATCACTTTTTTTTAGCAATGGCGTTTATTTCCATATCTAGCAGGAACATATGTTTGGAAATCATTTTGTTCATGGTTAAATACCGAGTTTTACAGAGTTACAATTACAAGCATGTCTAATTTTGCGGCAAATCCTGATATTGCAGTATATAGTTCTTTTATTATAGTATTTATTAATTTTTAATATCACGCTGTATTAATAAATATCTCAGTTTTTTTATGTTTTAATTATTGATGTATATTTTTTTTTTTTTTTTTTTTTTATTATACTTTTATTATATTATTTATTAAATTTTATAAAAATTTACAATTTTATATTCATTTATTTTTTAATGCATTATGTAAGCATAAACATGTTATTTTATATTGTATTTATAGGCAGACGTTGGAAAAGAGATTCACATTTTGTCATGTGCTTCAAAACCTGTAGCATCATGGCTAGCCCAACAAGGTATTCAAGAGGCTCGTGAAGCTTGTGGAGGACACGGGTATCTAGCTGGTTAGTAAATTCTTTTACAAAAGATCATGTAAATCCTTAATTTTCTTTATTTTTGATTTCTAGCATTTATTTGTCTAATTTATAAAGTTAAAAAAATAAATAGTTTTTTAATATATTTGTATATCATTTTTTGCTATATATCTTAGTGGCCTAATTTGCTTAAAATGCTACTGCTGATATTTAAAATCCCATCATCATCATCGTCATCATCATCATCATCATCATGACAGTTTAAATCTTTCACTTGTTCATTAAATTTTTCTTTTTTCTAAATCTTTCTAATTTTTGAAAATACAAAAGTAAAACACTTCAATAGTTCTAAAGTTATTATATACATATTATATACTTATCTATATCTATAAATAACTCTTTTACCTGGCAAATAAAAGGTTGGTCTTAATTACTGGGAGGAATAGATTTTTAAAAAAGCCTAAAATTTCTAAAAGTATCAAAATATTAGCAGAAATTTGTTGTCAACTGTGATTGAGATAATAATGCTATTAAAATCCTCTCGATGGCCAGAAAAAAAGATAATTATGCTATTAAAATCCTCTCAAATGGCCAGAAAAAAAGATAATTATGCTATTAAAATCCTTTGAAATAGCCAGAAAAAAAACTTAATAAAAATTTAAAGAAAAATATAATAAGTACCTCACAATTTTTTTTTTGTGTGTTTAAAAGTTAACAATTTTACAGTAAGAAGTTATAAAGTATTAAACATTAATAATTCAAAGACGAATTTGATTTTTTACCACTTATAAAAAACTATTGGATGGTATATCATAGTACAAATGTACATGATGGTAGGTGACCTACCATGATGGGTTATACAGCTATGGACCTCTAGAAAATATGTATATATTTAACCAATACTGAGAAAGTTAAGATCACAAACATGAAAAAGGTATATATATATATATATATATATATATATATATATATATATATATATATATATATGTATATATATATATATATATATATATATATATATATATATATATATATATATATATATATATATATATATATGTATATATATGTATATATATTATATATATATGTATATATATATATATATATATATATATATATATATATATATATATATATATATATATGTATATATACATATATACATACATATAATATATATATATATATATATATATATATATATATATATATATATATATATATATATATATATATGTATATATATATATATGCATTGTATATATGTATGCATTATATAAATATGCATTATATATATATGCACGTCAAATTCACATTAAGCTGATTCGTTAAACATTTTTTATTTAAAACAAGGCCTGATGAGTAACAACCTTACCAACACAAAAGAAAAATATATTTATAGTATTTTATATTTTATTTTAGTTAATCGTCTTGGTGTACTACGTGATCAAAATGACCCCAATTGTACTTATGAAGGAGATAACAACTGTATTTTAATGCAAACAAGCAACTATCTCCTCGGCGTCTTTAAAGATTTAAAAATGGGTATGTCTTAATAAATAAACTAATAGCATGAAGTTAATATATTTTGAACTATTTAATTTATTAAATATATTATACAAGCCAACAAAAAAAATTTTTTTCTGTTGCTGAGCAAACAATACGTTTTTCTTAGATTTCAAATATGCAACTCATTTTTCACCATCAGGTCAAGTTATAAAGATATTTGGGTTCAAATCTTTAGTATTTGGAATAAAATCCCTAATATTGTCAAAAAAAAAAAATTATTCATAATTTTGTCAACCTGGGTCTCAAAAAAAGTGTATTTTCATTACAATTTTGAAAATGATATTCATTTTTGATAAAAATAAATACTTTTTATAATAATGCTAAAAAATTTTGTTAAAAGTCTTTTGAGAAACTTGAATATTTTTGTACAATTTTTTAGATATATTATAAGTAAAAATATTTTTGTTTCCTAAAATCTCTATGAAAATACGCTTCTTTTGAGATCCAGGTTGACTTTTGAAAAAAAAGTTTTGACAAAATCAATTTGACACAATCAATTAATTTTTTTTTGTTGACCTGTGTTATTTAATAAGTTAAATAGATTATTTCATTTACACTTTATATTATATATGTTTTAGTCTTTTTTGTTATATAAATGTCCTGTCATGTCTTTTTTTTTTATGCAGTATTTTATAACTAATTTATATCTTTTTATTTTAGTTACTTATTTTAACTTGATTACTTATAAACATTTATACAAAATGTCTTTGAAATATTATGCGCTTTAAGTATGTGTGTATATGTGTGTGTGTGTGTGTGTGTGTGTGTATTATGTGTTCTTCTTACCTAAAAATAAAACGTAAAATAAACCTTAAAATAAACAGTTGATTTTGTGATTTTTTTCTTTTTTTGTAATAAAGATACTTATTTAGCTTTATGCAAGATTATTTTGTTTATTTTAAGTATGAAATTTTAAATGATTATATATATTTGAGTAAATACTCTTGTTGTAACTGTTAACAAGTTAACTGTGATTGTAAAAATCAATAAACTTTTTAGGTTTACACGTTGAATCACCTGGCGAGAGTATTAACTTTTTAAACAATCATCTTAAGAATCTTCAAAACAGATGTTCTGTTATGTCTCTTAATGATCTCACTCCTAAAGGTATATAAGTTCACTTTGTATTCTGTGTGAACTTTTATTTTAACAGTTCAACATTAATTTTAAGAAAAAAGATTATAATAATAAAAATATTTTTTCAATGTTGTACAACACTTGTGTAATAACTCTGTCAGTTGATCTATGTCTATTTGTCAATCTTTGTAGCCCTAAAACAGCACTCGGTGTTTTTTAAGCACTTTTTATTTTTAAAGGTTTGCTTATGATCGGCAAAATGCTTTTACAATTCTCCCTATGTTAAGCCAATATATTATTATCAGATACATTTCACCGTATGTTAAGCCAATATATTGTTATCAGATACATTTGTAAAAGAAACAAAACTTTTTTATACCACATTTTTTGATAAACAATTTCCCTCCATTGGACAATTTTTTTTTTTATCTACATTTACAATTTTCTTTAATTTTTTTATTTAGAATTTCTTTTTTGTTTAGAAAAGCATTATTGTGACCTTTTATAATTTTTTGTGCAACTGTAGCTATCTTTAATTGCATTTCAATTAAAAAATTTATGCAATTTATTAGGTTGCGAAGTCTTTATCCACCAAAGTAAAAAACACTTTTCTTATGTTATTGGAAACATTTTTTCATAATTGAAATTATATTTCTAGTTCTATTTTCCTTTATTGCATTCTTCTTTTTAGGGTCAAATTTTAATTCAAAATTTTGAAATTCATTTTTTTTAGGGCATCTGTGTAAAAATGTTTTGAGGAATTGAATACAATTTTGTCAGAGGAGTTTTGGTTGTAATTGATTAAACTTGGGATTTATATTTGAATTTGAGGTGGATGGTTTGAGTTAATATTAATATAAAATAATTCATCATTTGGCTTTTTGAAAGGCTTGTATGAATACAGAGAGGTTAAATGTGACATCAAGAAAATGTTTATGATATCTTTTCTAATATTATTGAGCTGTAGACCAGATTTTTTATGCATGACTGTTAAATCATCATCACAATAAAGGTCTAAATAATTAATTATTTTACTTAATAAATCTAAAATATCCAAAGAAATTTACAAATTTCTGCTTATCATAACTCGTGATGATAAAGATAGTCAGGATTCATCCTTGATGAGCAAGAATGCATCCCTAACGAGCGATGCTAGCATATATCATAGCATCAATAATGCATACAAGTAATTGCCCATTAATACATCAAAGTAGTCATGCATGTTTTGTTTTTTTTAAGTTTCCTTATTAAAGTAAGGTTTTTCTGCAATGTTATGTTATATAAATTGACTCTTCTGGAATAACTGTGTGGATTCAATGCAAATTCCATTGTTTTGAATCTGTAGTTATTGAGAGTGTTAAAATCATTAATGTCAAACTAAATAAATGTATAGTATTTTTTATTTTCAATTATGGAGAACCACTTTATAACATCAGGAATATTTTTCCACTGTTGTAATTTTATTTTGTAAATTTTATTTATATCTAAGAATATTATTAATTTTGTCTAGTTTAATTTTGCTTATATGTCTAATCTTACTTTTTGAGGTATCCATTTTCCTTGTAGGTTATTAGTGCTACAACCTGTTCTCTTTTAACCTCCATAACAAAGATGGAGGTTAAAAGAGAGCAGATTGTGGCAGATCTAGAAAGGCTTTAGCAATACTATACATAATAAAACAGTTTTCTGGTTCAAGAGTCTTAGTTTTCAACAACAAAAAAACTTCTGAATGCGTGTGTGTGTGTGTGTGTGTGTGTGTGTGTGTGTGTGTGTGTGTGTGTGTGTGTGTGTGTGTGTGTGTGTATAGACATATATATATACACATATATCTGTGTGTATATGTGTGTACATATATGTATATATTTACATATATATGTGTATATATATATATATATATATATATATATATATACATATATATATATATATATATATATATATATATATATATATATATATATATATATATATATATATATATATATATATATATATATATATTTATACATAATATTTTAAGTTATTGAAGAAACATTTGATTGGTTAGTAAGTTTTCTACTTGAACAAAGTCAATTTAGATATCAAACACAGCTTACTATTAGCAAGGTGAGTTAAAATGAAGCATTTTATAGATTCTAAATAATTCTTTCTATTTGATGTTGTTTTAATAGTGTAAAGATAAAAAATAATAGCAGTAGAATCCACTTATTTAGTAATAATTTGTTGTATATAGATTTGGATTGACCCGATAAGAAATTTTTTATTTCCAGGCTATATATATTTTTTTGTTTTATTCTTTTTTTTTTAATAGGATGAATTCACTGCTAAAAATAATTCGCAAGTATATTATTGTCGAACTCTTGCAATGGCATTTATTGAGGTTTATATACAATTTTAAGTTTGTATTTATACAAATGTGTGTACAAATATATATATTTTTAGGGGAGGGGGGATGAATACAAATTTACCTCCCCAAAGCCATTAGAGTCAAGGAGATTATAACAAACACCTCGTGGTTGTTGTTACACACCATTCTTTGTCGGTTTTTTTTATGATTTAGAATTCAGGTTGCCTCTTTGTCGGTGCACAGCTAAACTAGTTAGGTTGAGTTTGATTAGTCTTTCTTCATAGCTATGTTGCCTCATGTGTGTCCAATCTTGGTGGCTCGTTGCTGAACTTTTTCAAGTGTTTTTTAATCCTTTTTTTTTTTTGATGCTGACCAAGTGCATACTGTATATTCCAAATATGGTTTGACATATGTTGTATAGAGTTTCTTCCATAGTGTTGGCTCTCATGATATAAAAGTATTTTTCAATAGACCAAGAATTTTGAAGTTGACACTTTATTTACTTTAGAGTGAATCCAAGTTGATGACCTGTTATGCCATATTTACTCAGTTTTTCAATAAGGTTCGCATGGTGTTTTAAATCAATTGAGCATGAAAAGTAGAAAAATACAATATGAAGTGGCATTTTCTTTGTCTATAGTTTCTAGAAGTCCATAGTTTCCTGAAGGTTTGCCGTACATGATTCATTCCGAACAAAATCATGTTGCTCGCTACAAAAAAAAGGTTGCTTTTTGTGAACTAGTTGACAAGTTCATTTCTTACTATTTTTTCCATAATCTTGCATGAGACCAATGTCAAGCTGATTAGTCTATAGTTTCCTGGATCTGTTGGGCTTTCTTTTTTAAATATGCATCTAGCCATACATCTACTCCTGAATACAAAGAGATATTGAATATGACAAATAGTGGCTTAGCAAGTTTAAAGGCTAGTGCTTTTAGCATGAATGGGTGAACGTTATCTGCTACTTGCAATTTGTTTCCATCAATTTGTGTTGCTAAGCTTGCTACTTTTTCTGCCCTGATCCCATTCCTGTTGTCAATTGTATTATTCTTCCTTTGGCTGAGTGTGTGGCTTTAAACGTCATTTTTTTTAGTGAAGACGAACTCAAATTGATTGTTTAACATTATTATTATTTGTTTACTGATTGGCTTGTTTACCATGTTTCACTTACAAAAATTATGTGCAGACAGTTGACCAAGACATATGCTGTAATTTTGTTAAGTTTATTTGCATTTACTGATGTTGAATTAGTGTATATACATCTTACATGCTTATCATCTATTTGATGATTTAGGGCATTGTTTGTTGCTACTATCAATTTGTAAATTAATGAGGAGTTTATGGCATTTTTTGGCAAACCTAGTTAGTTACGGTATTTGCTTTTTGTTGCTGCAATCAGGTTGATATTGGATTAGGAAGTTGTGGCCTAGTTTAAAGACCCGAGATGTTGGGCATTGTTTGATAATATTACTGAGTTGACGACTTAGTGGCATTGTGTGGTAAATCTAGTTGGTGACAGTGTTTGCTATTTGTTGCTGCGATCAAGTTGCTATTTAATGAAGAAGTTGCAGCACAATTTGGCTGGCCGTGAGAATGATGTTGAGCGTTGTTTGTTGCTGCTATCAAGTTGTTGATTGGCCAGGAGTTTGCTGCAAATTGTTTCTTTTTTAAGATTTTTGGCTGTTCTAATTTAACTTGACTTGAATTGACTTTTTGACTTTAATTTTAATAGAATTTGACTTTAATTTTATTGGAATTTGACTTTAATTTTATTGGAACTTTTTAAATTGACTTTAATTATAGTTGATTAATATAGACTTCACTTCGACTTTATAAGTCAATGATATATCATTGATGAAAAAATAATTGATAATAATATAAATATTAAATAAAAGTAATAATATAATAATTATTTAAACAACAATAGTTAATGCAAATTAGCAAAAAGTATTATGTTAATATAACCACTGTAACACTAACTTATTGCTAAAGAAGTTATTTAAATAGTATCAAATATTAAATAGCTTTGGTGATTATTTATCCGTTTAGTCACTGTTAATTTATGCAACTTCATATAAATGTTCATTTAAATTTAAATTATGTTATTTCTTATCAAATTATAGGAGTGCATAAGAAAATATATGTACACTCCATAATTATTTGAAGCAATTGAACTTCACATAATTATTTAAAGCAATTGACCTATGACTATGACTACATCAGTCAATTTATGTACGCATTGATTGTTATTCTGTGAAACTTAAACAAAATATAATTAATAATAAAAAAAGTTATAATTAAACAACAATAATGGTTAAAACATATAAAACTACTTTTAAATAAAACATCAAAAATTAAAACTTTGATCTATTAAGAGGGAGTTGAACCCACACCCTTGATAGCTGTGCCTTGAATTATGCTAGTTTAACCATCCAGGGCTCTATGCCAATATATTGCAGAGACAAAATTTAAGGAATTTCTTTATTTATTACAAATAATAGTTTTTTTGTGGGTGGATATAAATAAATAATATTTATTTGTATCCACGTACAAATGACACTTAAATATTTTTAATTAAAATTTAGATTAAAACTTATTCATTAGATAACAAAAAGCAGCTGAGAAAATTAAAAATGTTATCCTATTTAGAACCAAAAAAAAAATCTCTAGGGAGGAAATTTTTCGTATTTTTAGGAATACGAATTTGCTGCATAATTTGATTAAAAGCGTTCATTTTTTCTTTTAATTATTTTATTTAGAATTTGTATAAAACTTTATTTTATTTAAATTCTAATATTATTTATTGTGCTGCGGTTAGCAAGGTTGCTGATAATGCCAACTTAGCTGACCCAAGAACACAACCTTATATGGGGTGATAATACACATCAATGTACACTGTGATGCATATTTTGAAATTATTTAATTTTGTTCAAAAAAAATAATTTAATTTAAATGTTCAAATTCAGTGAAATTTTGATTTTATAGTGTGACAATAAAACACTTGTAAAATGAGAACCACTTTATATAATTTGATAAAAGTTGGTGCAAATGGCTGCATCAAGCTCTCAATAAAATTTTACCATCTCATTACCATTTTTTATTTTATAAACTAAAATATTAATTTGCTTATTAAAACATGGTTTGACTTATGCATAGCGTGAAAATATTAGCATTTTCTAAGGTATAAACTATTGTCAAAATGCATGAAAATGTTAAAAAATGGTTGAAAAGCTTTTATAAAGATACAAACATAAAAAATATATAAAGATAAAATAACTAAAATTGACAAATAAAAAGTTTGGAAAAATCTTATGATAGGGAGTTTTTTGAAGAGCAGTAAATTTTGTAAGAATGTGTCGTTAAATAAAATTTCATCTAAATTGTCATTTAGTATGACAAGTGTCATTAATTTGAATAATTTTTTTCTTTAGAGGAAATAATTATGTAAGAATTATTTTTTTGTAATTTAAGAAATTATTTTCTTGATTTTAATCAAGGATTTAATGGATTGTAAGTTTATATTAAATTTTGTAAAAGGGATAATTTGATTTACTAAAGTTGGATTTACTGAGTTGTGACAATGTCAAATAAAGCAAAGGTTCACAATGAAAATCAAAAATTTGTGTTCTTGCTCTGCCTTATAGTGTTGAAGACAGCTTACTGCTTTCCAAGCAGAACAAAAATGCCAACTGTACAAGACAAAGATCAATATCAGTGATTCTCAGGTACCATAAGAAATCTATGAATCGTGTAGAATAGTTTTGTGCTGGAAACAAGAGGTTGAAAAAAGTTATACTTTCTTTTTTGTTTAATTTCAATTCAATACAACATAGATGAGTTTTTTCCAGGAATTCCCGGAATTTTGGAAATTTACTTAAAACTCCTTTAATTTTCCAGGAATTTCCCGATGTTTTTTTTTATCAATTTGTTTAAAAAAACATAAATTTTTACATAAAATTTTAAAAACGACAACTTTTGCATGTAAACAAATATGTTTTCTATAGTTAAAATTTTTACGAGATCAATTTTCTTAACAATTTTTTTTTCTTTTTTTTTGCTTTTTAATTTATTCAAATTAACTTTTTTGAATATTAGAAATTCCTTTTTGTAAAAAGTTAAATAATCTATATTCCGTTTTAAAAGTTTATGAAAGTTTTTGTTTTCAGTTTAATACGATCAATTTTTAATAAAATAATTTTCCGGGATTTTCATAAAAAAAATTTTTCCGGGATTTGAAGTCTAATACTCATCTATGATACAAATAAGACCTAAAACATAAGGCATGATGTGTTATTGCCTAATCTGCCAAACTGGTTGTTTAAAACATCCTCTTGAATAGCAAACTGTCATTGAGAAAGAACCAAATGTACATTGCAGCGCGTGCCTCTGAAAACTTTTTTCTCATCTTAATCTTTTTTAAATGGATGCCATCAGCTCCGCGTCAAACAATTTTAATTTTGAAAAATAAAAATTGGTAGTGAGACTTAATAGTTGATTTAAAATAAAATAATTGTTAATAGTTATTCCACATTTGGATTTTTTATGTTGTTAATTTCCTACAACTAAGTCTTATTTGTATTTAATTATTCTATATATTCTTTAGAGATATGCAATAAGCAAGTTTGGAATTGAAAAAGCGTTTTCTTCAAATTGTCCATCAGAGTTTAAGGACCTTTTAAAAAATGTTTATATGTTGTATGGACTCTGGATCATAGAGAAAAATCTAACCAATCTGTTTCAAGGTAGGTAATTTTTAACCAATATTTTGAAATAAATTTTTTTAATCTTGTAATATAAACATATCAAAAAACAAAGTTTTTGAAACAATTTTTTTATAAATTCAAGAAATTATAATAATGGTTAGAAAGTTTCAAATTTTTGTTACTTTAAAGGGAAATAAAGTATACAATACTAGCTATATAAAATTATCTTTGACTTTTCACCATTAAGTCTTTATTTAATAAATTGATCATCATTCTTATGAGTTAAAATGATTGTTTTTATAAATTTTACTTTATATGTATATAAATTTTTAATTTAAGTTCTAATGAAGTTTATTTTAGGTGGTTACATAACTGATCCTAAGCAAGCGGAAATCATTAGAGAAGGTGTTTTGCATTATTGCTCTTTGGTATGACAAATTTTATTTTAATTTTTTGTTTTTTTTTCCTAATGATATCGAATCAATCATATTATGTAAAATATTCAAGCAGTCATATATAATAATTGATTTTAACACTTATATATTTCCTTCAAATAGGCACTTTAAATAAACAAAAAATCAAAAAAATAAAATTAAAAATCAACTTTTTATTAAAAATTTTTTTTTTTTAAAACATGAGTTTTAACATAATATTATAAAATGAATAAGTGTAAAAAAGTTTTAAATAAATACTGTTGTTAAAACATTAAAAAAAGCAGCAAAACTATTACACAAGGTTGTTTTTTATTACAGTCAGGTTTAAAGTCTCTGTTTGCCATAGAGAGAAGTTTATTTACAATAAATAAGGTTGTTTGACATTATTAGTCAGCATTTGATTTTGTTAACAGTACTCAGAATCTTCTCATAAAGCTCTTAAATAACGCATGTGTGTAAAACTTGAATAATAAATTTTTATAATTAAAAAAGCTCATAAATAACAAAAATAATTTTAAAGACAAATAAAACATCTCTTTCAACCATCATCACAAAGTTTATCATCATTATTTAAGTTTATATACTTATGTTAATGGTAATAGTTATTGCTTTTTTGTTATTTAAAATCAGTTTTTTTTAATAAAATCAATTTGTTATTAAAATCAGTTTTGTTATCAAACTCAATTTGTTATTAATTAGCTTTTTCAATTATCGAAATTTATTATCTAAGTTTTACGCGCGTTTTTAAAAGTTTTAAAGTGCTTTATGAAGTTATTCTGAGTACTGTTAAACTTAAATAAATAAAACAAACCAACGGTTAACTAATAATAGAAAATCTATTTAACTAATCTACTAAATAGTGATATAGCATCTATTTTAACCATTATCAAAAAGTTTATATATTAGTGTAGCTTACACAAACAAACAACTTGTTTCTATAAATACAAATTTGTTTTGCTGTTTTTCATTTAATAAAAATATATAAAACTTTGTTTGTCATACAATATATACTATATTCATTAAACATAGGTTAGAGTTTTTTGTCTTTAAATAAAGCTTTTTATCAAATGAATTTTTTAACAAGTTTTTAGAAATCAAAAATTTTTATTTTAGATAAAACCTTGTGCATTAACATTAGTTGATGCACTTGCTCCTCCTGATTGGGTTTTAAATTCACCAATTGGTCATAGCAATTTACAAGTTTGTTTACAATTTTCGCATTTTTTTTTATACTTGATTGTATTCATAACTGATGTATTAGTTTACATGTTTAATTGTTATTACAACACATGTTCAATTATTGCTGCAATATATGCTCAATTGCTGCTGCAATATGTTTTCAATTGCAGCTGCAATATGTGTTAAATTGCTGTTTTAATATCATTATATTTATAAGTGTGCTGAATGTCTATTTTATGCATTTTTAAATTAGCCTTTAAAGAATTTGTATGATGTGATGGTCACTCCTGAATCTCAAAAGCGTCCAACCTGGTGGAATGAGGTTGCAGGTGGAGTTCAGCTTGGGTCAAAAAGTCATCTTATTGCCAGCAAGTTGTAATTCTAAGCTTCAAAATATGTCAACTAACTTAACTAACTTTGAAGATAAAAACAGCCTGTAGAGTTGAACATTGAGTTATTTATTAAATGTTTCAAATATTTTTTAGAGTAGAGTATAGTTTTAAAATTTATTGTCAAATTACTTAATTTTGTTTATATCATAAGTTTTCATGGTTTTATTTTAAAAAAAAGTTCAATTAATTTGAAGTCTATCAATAACTAATAAAATGCATAATAATAATTAAAAAAAAAAAAAAGTCAGTTTGCTTTTTTTTTTAACACTTTTTTAGTTTTTTAGTTTTAAATTTTACCAATTTTACATTTGTAAAATAGAATTGTTGTTATTATTTAGCTAATTGTTTTTTTTTTTTTGTTTGTTAGTTTTTGTTTTTTGTTTTATGTATTTTCATATTTGATGTGCATCTTGTAATTCTTGTACAAACAGATTTTTTTCTGCTCATAAAATTTATACAAATCATTAATCTGTTTGTTAATTTTTGTGAAGTGTTTTTTCATTGCTAGTTTTGTATTGAAATGACTTCTTTGCAATGGCTGGTTATTTGCAATTCCCATATTTTACTCTAGGAGTAATAGTAAATGACAAGTAACACAAGAATGAATTTTAGTAAATATCACATGAGATGCTAGCTTTTTACAGCAGTGTCCATTAAAGTATTTATAAACTAGAGAAAGAGAAGCAACATTATGACGATGTGATAATGTTGGAGGTTGGCTGCAAGAGCAGGTCCAACTATGTTTACAATGCGTTTTTGCACCTTGTATAGAAGAGAAAGGGCATCATTGGAAGGTCCGTCCTAGATATGGCAACAGTATTCCATACAAGAATGGATTTGAGATTTATAAATATAAAAAATAGAATCCTGAGTAAGGAAGTGGAAATAATTATGTAAGAATTATTTCCACTTTCTTACTCAGGATTCTATTATAAAAATAAAAAGATGCAACCTTAGCAGATGCTAATTTTGCAATTGATTTGATGTATGACTTTCAAGAAAGATCGGAAGTAAGAGTTAATCCTAGAAGATGTAGCGACTCATCGAGTACATTACCATTCATAAATATAGGAAGATCTAGATTATTGTGATAACGATTAGCTAACAAAAATTTATATGATAAGATAAGCAAATTTAGTTTTAGCTGAGTTAAAATCTACCAGTCACCGAGAGCCCCATGCTGTAGTAAAAGTGAGATTCTTTTCAAGCTCAAATATAAGAATAAATGGTAGTATCACAAGACTTCCGCGGAAGTGCATGCGGTCGCACACCTTATGCATCCACATTTAAAGTAATTTTGTTAGACACTCTGACCACGTCAGTTGACATTTTAAAAAAAGGAAATAAAATTGTAACGAATTATCAAGTTTTAATTAACTTAGAAAAATTTAATTAAAAAAAAAACTTTTTTTAAATTTTTATACAACTTTTGCATTTTTTTTTAGGGTGGTTGTTATTTTTTGCAACAGAATTTATTTTGAGGAAATAAACATACTATATTTTATAAAAACAATTTTATAATTTTAACAACAACTGAAAGTTTTGATATGCAATTTATTCATAATTTTTACGAAACTAATTTGCATTGTACTCTAGAACCATAAGAAACTTAGTTAATTTATTTTCTTATGTTTATTTGTTTTCGCGTCTATTAGTTTTAAATAATGGTTTTGCTACATTTGTATAAATATAGCAAAATCATTTTAATATGATATTAATTGATATTTATATACATATATATATATATATATATATATATATATATATATATATATATATATATATATATATATATATATATATATATATATATATATATATGTATGTATATATATATATATATACACATATATATATATATATATATATATATATATATATATATATATATATATATATATATATATATATATATATATATATATGTATATATATATATATATACACATATATATATATATATATATATATATATATATATATATATATATATATATATATATATATGTATATATATATATATATGTATATATATATATATATATATATATATATATATATATATATATATATATATATATATATATATATATATATATATATTTCAATGGGGGTAGAGAAAGCAACTAAATATTTCATATTTGAACATTAGTATTAATTATTCGTTTCCTTTCTTTGTTTATTGCTGTTTTATTCTTTTACTTATATGTTTATTTTGCTTCAAATTCTTAAAACGCTTATTATATAAAAACATCAAGTTGGTTGGTCAAGTTGTCTAAAATAATTACTTTATGTGTGGATGAACAAGGCGTGTAACCGCACGTGCTTGCCAGGAAGGCTCGTATCATAAGCAAATAATTCCACCTTGGATGTGAGAATTTTTGGGAAATCATATAACAGATGACACTTTCCAAAAGGATGGAAAATAAGACTCAGATAAGCACTTGTTAAATAGTTCTGAAAGTATAGATGACAGCTCTAGAGAACACTTCTGCAAGACTATAACAGATATGTTGTCCGGACCACAAGCTGTAGAAGAGTCTAAGCAGGAAATCACTTTAGATACAGAAGCTGGAGTGTTATGAATGTTGGGCAATGGACAAACCTGTTTGTAGGCTATATCAGGTAGAACCACAAGCTATAGAAGAGTGTGAGCAGGAAATCACTTTAGATACAGAAGCTGGAGTGATATGAACGTTAGGCAATGGAAAAACCTGTTTGTTAACTATATCAGATAGAACTATTGGAATCAAGAGATGATATTACTGAGAAGTACTCAGCAAACAATTCAGCTTTGACTTTAGGTGAGGGGAAAAAATCTGAACCATACAGGAGAGGTGAAAAATTACAAATTCCAAATTTCATTTTGATTCTAATTAAATTTCCAAAAATGAATTTACAAAAATTACAAAAAATGAATAAGTCTTTTTAATATTTATTTATACAATTTTTAATTTCACCCAGTGAAAATTAAATAAAAGCAAAAACATGTCATCAAAGTCATGTAAGATATACACAAAATTTTATTTTGATTCTATATTAAATCTCCCAAACAAATCAGTTTCTTCAACATTTAATTGAAGTAATAAATAGACCCCGAAGTGGGTCTAGCATTTGTAAAGTTAACACTCCTTCTATTGTGAAAATATTTAACAATGATCTCCCAAACTTTTCAAAGTAATTTGTTAGAAGATTAGTATGTTGACTCAAAATGTTAGAAGATTAGTATGTTAAACAAAAGCAAAAAAAAACAACAAAAGAATTGTTAATTTAAATTAGATAACACGATTTAATTTTTCTTTCATTCTCTATTTCAATTTTATTTTAGAATACCAAAACATTTATATAGATACCAAAGTGTTTATATAAATACCAAAATATTTTTTTAGATATGTTTTATATTGATTATGCACAAGTGCAGTTGATCTTAATAAAATTGTTAATTATGCATCTTATTTTCTCTAATCATGCTTGAATTGTTCACTGTTTTAATATTTTACAAAGCTTTTTTATTGATGGCTGGAGATCATCATTTTTAATTAATGAACCACCCCCTATTTACGTTATTGGCCATAAATAATAAAATAATTATGTAATTATAAACCTTTTTTCTAAAAGATTTAAATTTTGAATTTAATATAATTATTGAATTTTTTTTATTGTTATTTGTGCATAATAAAAACACATAATTAAAATAAGTTATCATTATTTGTGCATAATAAAAACACATAATTAAAATAAGTTATCATTATTTGTGCATAATAAAAACACATAATTAAAATAAGTTATCATTATTTGTGCATAATAAAAACACATAATTAAAATAAGTTATCATTATTTGTGCATAATAAAAATTGAGCCTGTTCAAGCGCATTTGTTCTTTGAAATAAAATTGATTGAAAACTGTTTTTTATTTGTGTAGTGAACCTCAGATAAATGTTTTTTATTTACAGCTTTACATATTTATTTTAAAATGTTAAAGAACAGACTGGCAACAAAATTATAGAGGACAAGATGGATGGTTTCACACTGGTAAAATATAAAAAACATTCAAAATTAAAAAGATATAATAAAGAAGCTCACAGTTATGCAAACAACGATGATTTAGTTGATATTGACGTTTGTAAACAGCAGATTATAGATTGCAAGTATGTTAAAAAGGGTAATTAATAAATTAATTGATTTTTATTACATATACTTTCATTGGTGTTGTTATAATACTTATAGCTGTTGTTATTTGGCTAAGTCATACTGTCGCATGTTGATATTTGTTTGTAGTTAATTTATTTGCTGTTTTCTTTCTTACTTTTTTAATTTAAAATTTGCTAGGGTTGAACTTTCAGACAGTTTGTTTTTAAAACAGTTAGTGGGTAAGAAATTTATGTCATGTTCTTTATATATTTTTTCAAAATTCTTGTAAATATTTTTTTAATGTATATTTTTTTAAAAAGCAGAAGTGTACACTGGATTTGTATATGTTTGAGTTTTGATACTTACAGGCATTGCACATATAATCAGCTCATACAATCTAGCTGGACAAAAGTCAATTCAAAGAATCAATTAGTATATATTACCATAGTATTACTGAATATTCCCTAGAGAAAAATTCAAAATATTAATTAGTATACGCGTAAAAGTGGAATGCAGCCAATAAAATTATGGATCATTTTTTAAATAAAAATAAAAGTTAGTTAGAGGGCAATAATTTAGAATTTAAAATAAATTTTTATCGGTCCTGTGCTTTGGCAACATCTGAAGGAAGTCGGCTTTAAGGTCGACCAAAGAAAAACTTTGAAGACTCATCTTTAAAAACCAAAAGACATAGCGTTGAAGACTTATTGCAATCGCAGAGTGCCAATGAATTAATAACAGATGCTGAAATAGCACATCGTTTATCGGGTCAAAGAAACGTAGCTACTTCTATTAGAAAAAGTCCAGAAACCTTAGAGCGAAGAAAATCTACAGATGTTATTTGTGGTATCAGACAGTTGAGTAGCAATGAGGCACTTGCTTATTATGTAGATTCCAAGTGTACTAGTCACTCTTATAAACAAACAAGAAAGTGGTTAATGAAAGCGGGGCATGAAGTGTTTCTGTCTTACTTTAATTTATGTAAATCCAAAAAGTTGTGTTACCCTCCAGAAGAATTTCTATCTCATAAACACGAGCTAATATTAAACTTCAAGCCATATTGAACAAAAGAATTGAAGGTTTAGTTGAAACACTATGTCAATTTCCCAAAAATGCATCCTCAAATTTGTCGCTTACATTAATAAGCAAATGGGGATGTGACGGAAGTTCTGGCCACAATACTTATAAACAAAGATTTGAGAACTCCCATGCTAATGATGATTTTCTGTTTGTGTTTGCGTTTGTCCCATTGAGATTGAGTAATGACTCTAAGACTATTATTTGGCAAAATCCTCAGCCATTGTTAACACCTTATTGCCGACCAATTAAATTCATATTTTCAAAAGAAACACAGGAATTTACTCTAATAGAAACTGACAAAGTTTTAAAAGAAATATCTGAACTTCTTCCAACACTGTGTAATGTTGGTGAATTTAAATTTATTGTGAAACACAACCTGTTACTTACAATGACAGACGGAAAAGTATGCAATGCTTTAACTGATACACGCTCTGAACAAAAATGTTATATTTGTGGTGCTACTTCAAAAATGATGAATGGTGAATTAAAAGATATGGTTAATAAAAAAGAAAATTACAATTTTGGTCTTTCTACCTTGCATGCTTGGATACGTACTTTTGAATGCCTGCTACACATTAGCTACCGTTTAGACATTAAAAAGTGGCAAATTAGAGTCAATGAGGATAAATGTCATATTAGAGAACGTATAAAAAAAACTAGGCAAAAGTTTCAAAAACAAATGGGACTTATTGTGGATAAACCGAAGCCTCATTATGGCAATACAAGTGATAGCAACACAGCTCGCAGGTTTTTTTTAAATCCAGAAAAAAGCAGAGAGATTACAGGATTAGATGTTGAATTAATTAAAAAATTTAGTGTTTTGTTAAGAACGCAATCTTCTGGTCATGACATTGATTGTGTCAAATTTGAAAAACTTTGTTCTGTAACAAGGACTTTATATTTACATTTAGATTCGTGGTTTTACATGCCTGTTACAGTGCATAAAATTTTAATGCAAAGCACAGAAGTTATAAAGTCGTGTATTCTTCCGATTGGTCAGCTCTCAGAAGAATCTCTAGAAGCACGAAATAAAGACTGTAGGAGATTTCGAGAACATCACACTAGGAAAAAGTCACGTATTTCTACAAATATGGATGAATATGCTTTTAATAACATCCGACCCTGTTATCAATTCACTTAGAGAACTGCCTGCAAAATGAAGCAAAAAGTTACCATATTGTTCCAGCTCCAAGAATAGGAAATTGTAACTTGTCCAATGAATCAAATTATTAGTCATCTGACGATTCAAGTGATGAGTGTTTGATGGATATAAACAATGAGTTTTTTGATAACTAAATATAAAATTTGTTGTATGATTTTATGCACCCTTGTTTCATAAATATATTTTTTCTTTTTTACTTCTTTTTTTTATTATAACAGTGATTGTTGCTATGAGGGGGGATGGGGGGATGTAGGCAAGGGGTTTTCCCTCTATCCTGCGCAAAAAAACCTTTCAAGTTATTAAAACCAAGGTAATTATTTAATAAAACAACAAAATATTGTTTATTACAACCTTTCATGACTAGAACAATGGAATTTGTAAACAAAATATTTTTGTCCAGCTAGATTGTATGAAACAATTCACTGTGCATTGTGTAAACTCCCAACTTTTGTATATTCATGTTTATGTCAAATGATATGTTTTGCAAAGAATTGCGGTGATTGGAGCTTGGGCACAAAAAAACCCTATATTTTTGGCCCACCCAGCTCTTAATGTGGAAGCAACAAGTTTATAAAATATTTTCTTTACTATTTTAATCTGAATTTAAATTCATCAACAAATTTTGAATTTTACGCAATAATCTCTTAGCGTTCAGCTTTTATGAGCCTGCAAAGTTTACAGCCTCTTCAAATTGAAGGAGGTTAAAACTTTATGTAGTCATAATTTTTGAAAAATAGGAGACTATTGCATTTAAAGTTTGTTGATGAATATAAATTTATATAAAAAATAGTAAAAAAAATATTTTATAAACTCAGTGCTTCTATGTTAAGGGCTAGGTAGGCCAAAAAATTAGGGTTTTTTTGTTCGCAAACTCCAATCACTGCAATTCTTTGCAAAAGTTGGGAGTTTGCACAGTGCCTGTAAGTGTCAAAACTCAAACATATAAAAATCCAGTTTACGCCTCTGAAAATTCTTTTATTTTTTCTACATTCTCTAACTATATAAAGTTAAAAATTGTTAATTTTTATTTACTTTTATACCAATCACATTTTTATGGTTTTAATAATTTAATATTGTTATATTAAATATATTAACTATTGTTTATCGTGTGTATTAAATTTGTTGTTTACAAAAAATTTTATGACAAAGAATTTGATATCAAGTTTTTTTTTTATACTAATCCTTCAAACATTTTAGATGCTTGCACAAGACAATTGCAAAGTCTTTGCAGGACAAAATGTTTCTTGATTTTTAAAATTGATTTTTTCCCAGAGAGTTTACAAGACATTCAAAATAATAAAACAGACTGATTGTCAGCAATAGTACTAATATGCTTCATGTCTAAATTTGAATAGGTTATTACTAAATTATCTAAATTATATCACAATTAATTAAATTAGTTATTTGAAACACAAAAGAACTTAAACTAGAAATTTGAAATAAATAAAAAATTAAGGTTACTGTCTTTAAAATTTAAAAAGTAGGACCAAAATTTAAAAAAACAAAATTTAAAAAAGAACAAAATTTAAAAAAGAACAAAATTTAAAAGAGCAAAAAAATAACAAAATTTCAAAAAGTAGGACCAAAACTTAAATAAGATGTAAAATTTAGTTGGAATTTAAAATCTTTTTTAAATTTAATATCACAATAGTCATTATTAATAGACCCATGTTTATTTTTTTAGTTTTTTTTTATTTTCATTTATTGTTAATGGTTTTTTGTTGTTGTATTTATATTAATGCATTTCTAATAACTCTTTGGCAAATGAAAAAAAATTTTAAGTTTTCTTTTCTTTTAAGCACTTCTTTTACACTCATTATCGTGTGTTTCAAGATGCTGTACTTTCAACGAAGAAGATTTTGTTAAAAACAAAGATTTTAAAGATATTGTTTCTTATGGCATTGGATCATTGGCAAATAGTAAAACTGCAAGATATCAATTTTCCCTTTTATTACTGTTAAAAGAAAAACTCGAGGTATTTTTAATTTTTATTATAAAATATATCTTAACAATTTTTTAAGGTCTTTAAATATTAAAGTTGTGTCATGATGTTGATAAAATTGTTTGAAAAAAGTAAATGTAATTGATAATAATATTATATTTTTAATGTTATAAAAATTAATAATCTTCTAAATAAAATAAAGAAAATTATTAAAGAGATGTTTTTGTTTGTTTTATGAGAAGTCATAAATTATGTCAACCTAAATCTACAGTCACAAACTGTTGTTCAACAACAAAATTAAACATTGCAAGCTATATGTTGGTATGGTATAGTAATATAAATTGTGGTGAAAAAAATAAACATTGAAGTTGTTTATCATTATGGAGTTTGAAAAATGGATTGATACAACAGAAAACATAAATAAACGAATGAATGAACAATTTATAAATGCGAAAGTAATTAAAAAAAAAATCTTTTTTTTTTTTAAAAAATATTTCTTATTTACTTGTTAGGAAATTTTTTCTTCTTATTCTTTTGTTAAAAATGAATCTTATTTTTAATAATTCATTTCGGGAATAAACTATATATTCTTTTGTTTTATTTTTTTCATTTTATTTTTGTTTTATTTAACTTTTTTTTTTCTTTTTCTTTTCTCTTTTTGGGTAAAAAGGTATAATACTACATGGCGTACAAAAATGATGCTAAAAAAAGTATAATCAACATATTAGACGGTGTTAAAGAAGGTGTAATCAGCATATTAGATGTTGATCTGTTTGTTTTTTTTAAATAATATGAGGAAATAAGCTCATATATAAAAATAGAAAAAACTGTTTAACATAAATTTAATTTTCATTTAGTATCATTAAAATTAAAACTAAATTCAGAACTAAATGATGTTGTCAATCAAACTAAAACTAAATTCACAACTAAATGATGTTGTCAATCAAACTAAAACTAAATTCAGAACTAAATGATGTCAATCAAATTAAAACTCTTGTCAGTTCTGCTTCAAATATAGAAAATAAAAACCACATAAAAATTGAGATAAACTGAGTTTGCAAAGAACTACAAATAATAAAGTTGGTATGAATATCAATAATAGATAAGTTTACCGAGAAATATAAAAATTAATTGCAAGTAAACAAAGAAGAAGCTCCATCAGTAATCTTATAAAGTCTTCGTTACCAGACATCATATTTTTAGTAATGCACATAACGTTTTCATCATAATTTAGCATAAACTGTCACTACTTTTTAAACTAATTTGATGCATTTTTCACCAGCAAACTATAGCTACACCAAGACTTCAAAAATTATTCCTCAATATGAATGTTTACATTTAAATATCTGCAGTTTTTCATTAACGTTCACTCATCAAATATCAAACGGAATCATATTCCTTGCAACGGAATATGTGAATCATATTTTTTTTTTTTTTTTTTTTTTTTAACATCTTCACTTCCAACAAGGTTGCAAGCAACCACTATAAGAGTTGGAAGTTACTGGAAGAGAAAAGACTAAATCTGTAGAGCAAGATAACGATTGACTGATGACTTAAAAGATTGCAAATTATATGAATCAGGAAAGCAAGATGAAGGAAGCGAATTCCAAAGAACTGATGTTCGAGGAAAAAAACTAGAAGAATAAGAGTTTTTGAAGCACTTAGGAACAGTCACAGAAAAAGGATGAGACTTAATTGAATGGCGAGTAACACGAGAATGAATTTTAGTAGATGGCACAAGGGACGCTAGCTCTTTAGAGCAGTGCCCATTATAGTATTTGTAGAAAAGAGAAAGAAAAGCAACATTACGACGATGTGACAAAGGTTGGAGATTGGCTGCCAGAGCAGGTCCAACTATGTTTACAATTCGTTTTTGCACCTTGTCTAAAAGAGAAAGAGCATCATTAGAAGATCCGCCCCAGATGTGGCAACAGTATTCCATACAGGGACGGATTTGAGATTTATAGAGATAGAGAATAGAATCTGGAGTAAGAAAGTGTCGAGCTCGATAAAGAGATGCAACCTTAGCAGATGCTAATTTTGCAATGGATTTGATATACGGTTTAAAAGAAAGATCAGAAGTAAGAGTTAATCCTAGAAGATGAATGGTAGATGACTCATCTAGTACATTACCATTCATAAATATAGGAAGATCTAAATTATTACGATAACGATTGGCCGAATAAAATTGAGTTTTATCTGAATTAAAGTTCACCAGCCACTGTGAGCCCCATGCTGTAGCAGAAGTGAGATCCTTTTCAAGCTCAGATACCCCCTCCAAGCAATCAGAGAGTGTAGGCTTCTTATCATGACAAGAGTAAATGGTAGTGTCGTCAGCGAATAATGCCACCTTAGATGTGAGAATATCTGGAAGATCGTTAATGTAAATTAAAAAGAGTATAGGGCCAAGGATTGAACCTTGAGGAACCCCTGAAGTTACAGGATGTGAAGAAGAGTGTTGTCCATCGAGGACAACTTTTATACTACGATTGGAAAGAAAGGACTCAATAATCTTAAAGACGTTACCAGCTACACCATAAGAAGAAAGCTTATGAAGAAGACCAGCATGCCAAACTTTATCAAAAGCTTTAGAAATGTCAAGTGCGATAGCCTTAACCTCTCCACCTCTATCTAATGCACGGTAAAACCTATCGGTTATTACTGTTAGCACATCAGCTGTAGAACGAGAAGACCGAAATCCATATTGATGATCGGAAAGTAAGTTATTTGATTCAAGATGAGAGATTAAGTGTTTGTTGATTAAAGATTCAAAAACCTTGCTTATGACAGGAAGAAGACTAATGGGACGGTAGTTAGATGAATCAAATCACTCTCCGGAATTTTTGAAAATAGGGATAACAGATGCTGCTTTCCAGCATGATGGAAAACAAGACTCTGATAAGCACTTGTTAAATAGTTTAGAAAGTATGGATGAAAGCTCCGGAGAACACCTCTGCAAGACTACAACAGGAATGTTGTCAGGACCACAAGCTGTTGAAGAGTCTAAGCAGGAAATTACTTTAGATACAGAAGCTGAAGTGATGCGAATGTCAAGCAAGGGATCAACCTGTTTGACGGCTATGTCAGGTAAAACGCAACTAGTGGAATCAAGAGATGATATTGATGAAAAGTTCTTAGCAAACAATTCAGCTTTGTCTTTAGGTGAGGTGACAAAGTCTGAACCATACAAGAGAGAAGGAATAACAGATTTGCCCTTATTATTGATACTGTTAAAGATTCTCCAGAAGTCTCGAGAGCCTAATTTTTGTGATGAGATACGAGATTTAATGACCTGGGAATAGCGAGTTTTGGCGTCAGACAAAACCTTTTTACAATGGTTTCTGGCGATAGTGAACAGATGTCTGTTTTCTGGAGAATTGTTTTGCTGATAGATATGGAAGTAACGGTTTCGATTAGAAATCGCTGCAGCGCAATGTGAGGAAAACCAAGGAGAAGAGTGAGGCTTGACCTGGAATCGTCGAAAGGGAATAAAAGATTCCATGCCAGCCTGAATCCACGAAGTTATGTAAGAAGCACATTTGTCAGCAGGAAGACGAAAGATTTCTACCCAAGGGCCATCACAAAGAAAATCACGGAAAGAGTCCCAGTCAGCTTTAAGGTAGTTGTATGTGGTACGATGATAGGGGGATTCTGATGAAGTAGAAGAATTTGATAATAGTTTTAGAGAGATCAAACCGTGATCAGAAGTACCTAAGGGTGAATGTGGAGAAATTGAGCACTGACTAGGATCCAAAACAAGACATAAGTCGAGTAGAGAAGGTAAATGATTAGGGTTGTCTGGAAAACGAGTTGGAAAGTTGACTATTTGAGTTAGAGATTGAGAAAGGCAAAAGTTGAGGGCCTTAACGCCAGCAGAGTCACTGACACTAGAGCCAAGCCAATCGGTGTGATGGGCATTAAAGTCACCAACAACGACGATATTGGCCGATGGATAAAGAGAGAGGGCTTGGTCAATTTGATCAGAAATAACATCAAGAATAGTGCAATCTTGGGATGAAGGAGAGCGATATAGAACAAAGAGAAAGGCGATAGAGTGAAGTTGTGCTAAACGAAAGCACATAAATGAATAGTCTGTAGATTCAAACCTAGTTTCACGACAAATGGGTGAGTTCTTACGAATGTAGATGCCCAGGCCAAGCATGTGATTATTGGAGTCTTTACGAATTAAAGGAAGATAACCATCAACACTAAGATCACAAGATGGGACAGCCGAACTCAAATTAGTCTCACAAAGAGCAAGTAGGTCTGGTGAACTTTGCAAGAGATAAGACTCAACAGAAGAAAAGTTACTTCGAAGACCACGAATATTAGTAAATGATAGGTTTAGAGAACTTGGTGATGACGATGGTTTTTTGTGTTTTTTAGTTTTAGGTACTTTAGTCATTTTCAATTTATAAAGAACTTGACTCAAGTATAGATAGTACTCAGTACACTATTTAACAACTAAGCAATAGCCTCATTACTATTAATAAACCCTAAGCCGTAACAAAGGGCTCCAAATGTGGCCTCTGCAATGCACACCAAAAGTACAAACAAGGACACCATCCATGCGCAACATGGCACTGTTAGTACTCTGATATTTTTCGGCTGTTGATGGAATCAACAGCCGAAAAATATCAGATATATATAGCCGAGATATATCATGGAATATGTGAATGTGTAATCATATTCCTTGACAGAGATAAGTGAACTTGGGTATGATCATCTTGCTGATTGTGTTTGCATATTTGATTACCATATTTGGAATTTTTGTCTCAATTTTGGAGCTTGTAGCAATTTTCTCAATTCAGCTGATGTGACAAATGTACAAAAGGGCAGTTAGTCTAAAAAGATTTTCTGGTTTCAACTTGCATTGGTTTAATTTTTAAAGTAATTAGAATTCAGAGTTTTTTTGTTTTTTTTCCCAACAGCACCAAAGCTGATGAAAACAAAGCCAATGACAATGCTGCATCTTGAGACAATTTTTTCTTTAGCAAGTAAATTTCAGAGTTTGTTCTCAGATGCCTATAAATTTCACTGGTACTGCCATCATGTAATTTTGTACTTTTTACTTA